AGCTTGCTCACCCAAGAATATAAGAAAGGGAGAGAGCACCACCAAAATTCGTAGTTGATGTAGTTATTTTCTCCAAGATAAAGTAGAATTTTTTCAATAGTCATAGTTTGGTCTTGTAATATGGATAGCCAAGAGATAGATACTATGCCAGTCAGATTATCTCAACCGACTAGCTCATGAAGGCGACTACAAGATAAAGAACTGCCTACACCACAACGACGACAGAGGATACCGAGTAACCGATCACTTGTGATTGTATTTGAGTTTGAGCCTACTTACGATGGTCAGCCAGAAGGCGTGTTTGCAGGACAATTTCACAATGAGGACATGGAAGTTCATGCTTGGTCAGAAATCAAAGGAGTGGGCCACTACCGTTGGGTTCAAGGGCCGATGAACCACTTGCCTTGTGAACAACAGTTGGAGTTCATAGCAGATGTTATGTGACAGATCTTCATTTTCTTGCATTGGTACTAATTAATAACAACATTGCTTCTCAGAGACCTCGAAGCTAAAGGAGGGGGTGATGTTAGGGACATAGTCCTTAGAACCTTCTAGAGACAAGTTTCTAGAACCTTCTAGAAGCGAGTCTCTGGAACCTTCTAGAAGCTTCCTTGTTGATAGAAGTTGCTTGAGAAGCTTCCTAAATAGGAGTATATATTGGAATCGAGGCTGAAGAGTTCTTCAGTCTCGACAACACATATCTTGGAGTTCTAGCTCAGTTCTCTGGTATTGTTCTTGTATTCATCTGATTAATCTAGTTCTTGTCAGTTCTTCTTGAACTTCTTGTTAGATCTCGAGTCTGTATTTCTGTGTTCGTGGCAATATATATATATATATATATATATATATATATAAAATTTAATTTATAATCTCTTCAAAGTAGATGTCATTTTAATCTTTATTGATACAACAAAAAGTTGGATAATTGATGGTAATGTATTTAATCCTTTAATTATTAGTTTTGAAATAAAAAGAAACATATTTTTTTTATAAAAAATAATCAAAATACTACAATTATTTACTATTACTTTTTTTTAACAATAGAAAAAAGAATAATGATTTACTTAATCTATAAATTTTATTATTATTTTAAAATAAATATTTTTAAAAAGTTTTCAACTTTATTCATAGTATTAAATTATTTTTTAAACAACAAAATATCTTTTTATTTTTAAGAAAAAATTTGTATAGTATTAATTTGAATCCTATACAATAGCCCATTAAAAATGCACAAGATCCTATTATTATAGGGACAAATTATAAAACAATAAGACTTTAAAATTATTTAACAAAGACTTTAAAAGAGATTAAAAAAATAATAATTTAAAAATGAATATTTCCTTTATAGTAGAGAAATGAATCTATTTATTTTAATATCTATTTTTACTATAAAAATTATGCAATATTAAACTAAAATCTCTAAAATAAAAAAGACAAGTAAAATAAGATTCAAATGTAAAATGTAATTATTACATAAACTAAGAAATATTACTCAAAAAAATTGAATAATAAAAAATTGGTTAAATTTGATATTTACTTCTATTTTAATTTCTAATTTTACATATTAATTTTAAAATAAATATTAAAAATTTAAATCCAGGATTTAAAACTTTTTAATCCTATTCTATAGTTACTAAAAAAATGGTAGAAAATTACATCAATATCAAAACAATTAGCAAAAAATTTATTTGTTCATGGTATTTTTAAGAATGCGACTCTAGGTATTTAAATAGAATCTTATTATCCTAGTCACAAATATTAGAAAAATAATAATACTATTTCTTATTATTGAACCAAAATTACAAAGAATAAGAAAATAGTCTTCTAACATCTATTCAAAAAAAAAAAAAATAGAGTAATTATATCAAATCAAAAAGAGACTAAGTGAAGAAATAAGTTTCTTTTTTGGATGTTAGTCCTTAGTAGGAGATGTGGTATTTACACCAAATATTTGTAGAAATATACATTATACCTTTAGTAAAAAAAATTAATATTTTTATTTAGTTTTTTTAGATATGTATATATATATATATATATATATATAAGAGATATATTTTTTGTTTTTAAATAGTTAATGCAGATAATTTTGATCATAAATATTTCTATTGGTAATAAATACTACTACTATAATCTTCCTTGATAAAAGCAAAAAAAAAAAAAAAAAAAAAAAAAAAATCTATCTTTAATTGTCAAATGTATGTACATAAAATTTATTGTTTATGGAAATGTGACAAATAGACCATTTTAAAAGACAGTTTTTGAAATATCAAAAAAATAATTTACAAAGTTGCAAGGTTTTGTCTTTGTTATAGATATAAAATAATGTTCTTTGGTAACTTTAGAAATAAAAGCCTCCCTTAGCCATAATACATATAGATGGTGGTGTAAGAACTAGTATTTTTATTAAGTATAAGAGGATGTCAATTTGTAATCATGCATAGATGGAACTTGTTTCATCATCTTTTACATAAATACAAATGATGATTAATCTGATGACTTCAGAGTTTTAATACTTTCAATCTTAAATCAAGTTAAAATTAAAATAAATAAATAAATCCCTTTGTAGTATATATATATATATATATATATATATATATATATATTGCACTATGTAACTAAAGCAAATGAAATTGCAATAAGTATTAAATTTATAAAATCAATTACAAGGAATGCAAATTTTATATCTAGGTTCAAAAACACACTTATAAATTAGTTTCTTCCATGAGAATATTATTAGTTATATTTAAATTAATTCAAATAAAATATTGCATACTGTTTGACCACTATTCAATGCACAAAAATTTAGACTTACATATGTTCATAAGTACTCATGAATGTTATGTGACTAGTTGATTTTTAAGAGACAATGTCTAATTTCCTTCTAGATTCTCTCCAAACACTCATTAATTGAATTTTTTATGGATTCCTACATGTTATGGCATTTGTAAATTTTTTATGATAATTATTTAAATTTTTTTATATTTTTATTATTCAATTAATAAAAAATACTGAAAAAATCCATTCTTAATAAAACGAATTAAATTACAAATTGACATCCTTCTATATTTAATAAATATAAATAAAATATAATTATTTTAAATTTAGGAATTTGAAAATGCAGCTAATAATATAATCAAAATTTTATTATGTGAAATTAATTTTTTCACATGAGTTATTGTGTATGTATGTATGCATCTAAGCACATAAGGCATAAACTGTTTATTTTTTTAAAATATTTATATTGAAATAATAGATAGAAAAAATAATTTAAAATCATGTTGAGATATCATGTAAATATTTAAATTTTATGTGTCCTATATATATATGTATATTACAACTGAAAATAATTTTACTTGTTTTAATGTCCTAGAATATCAGATTCTATCACAAAGATAGATTTATTTATTTATTATTTTTAAAATAAAAATTATGGAAATTATGAATACAGTTTTTGAATGAATTTTAGTGTGAACTAATCTGAATATAAATAAAAATGTCATTCTTCTAGTGGTTACATGTTTTTTGTGATATTATTATTATTTTTTATTTTTTAAAATATTATGGTAAAATTGAATTTTGTGTTATATATATATATATATATGTATATGTGTGTGTGTGTTAGAAACTTTCAATATTTGTTGATGAAATGCCAAAAAAAGTACATTCATTTATAAATTCATACACAACATTAAATAAAATTATTGCTATACAGAGTGCATTGAACGTCTTATGCACATTGTTAATGGTTTGTTTAATACATTGAGAAGGATTTTGGTATTTTTAGAAAAAAATTAAAAGCATTTTTGATTGCAAAATAATCGAATCATAACAACAAAATCACACTCACAACAATGTGATTTTTTACTAAGCATTACAACAATGCTTTATGTACATTGCTGGTAAAAAACAATCCTTGAATAAAATCACATGAATCTTACATCTTAATGATATACCAACATATCATATTGCACGTTTACAAAATAGAACTAATAAAAAACTAAGAAATGCAAAATGTCAACGGATCATCCCAAGTCTAGTCAAACATATGGAAAAGGGGTATAAAACCACAAACTTGATGAAACAAAAGCGGCACAGTTCTTTTGACACTCAACATCTCTAGACCCATTTTCCTTACAAGGATTAATCAAAATCACTAAAAATAGAAAAATTAAAAAAAACATACACAAATGGCTAAACTCTATTGGAATTGAACCCCGAAAGGCCCAAACGGACAGTAGGAATCAGGAAAGGCACAGCGTGGTCAGACTTGGCCCAACTGAAAGAGGGAGGGACACGTCACCATCGACACGTAGACCCTAGGCATCCACGTTAACACAGTATGGCGCAATCGGAGGACGCCAGATGTCATGACGGCACTGGGGGGAGGCGTACTCCCTGCAAGGGATAAGAAAAACAAAACAAAAATAAAAATAAAAATACCATACGAGCACACTGTCGTCGGAAGTTACACGAGACCCATTATCCTCAGGACCAGCCATCCATCCAGCCACACATTCATCCACAAACAACCCCATGTTATCATCCAAACAAAAACACATAATTCATCTACTGACGAATTTACCCATCCATCGTTCGAGCATTCATCCAAAGCTAGGGGTGGAGTAGGGGGGGCCGCAGCGCGTCGCATCCAATCCCCGCACCGCATGGACGAGAGGAGGGCCAGCCAGCCCCTTCGCAGGCAAAACGCGGGCACAATGCGAAGAAGAAGAAGAAGAAGAAGAAGCAAGGAGGAGGGTAAGATGGTAAGATGGTAAGATGGTAAAGTGCGGATGATTCTAGAGAAAAGCGCCAAAACGGGGCGTCCGTCAGCCACAAGTAGCGGGACTAGACGAGACGAGAGGGTAGCAAGCGATGAAGATGAAGATGATGATGATGAGTGGATGGATGGGGGAGGGGGGGCCAAGTCGTGGTGGTGAAATCCGTCGAGGGCGTATCATTTCGTTCCGCATAAGACACATGATTTCCCTCCACAGTTTCCCTTGTCCTCGCCAATCTCAGAGCACCACCGCCACCACCACCGCCGTTGCGGAGAGCAGCACCCAGCCAGCCAGCCAGCCAACCAGTCAGAAAGTTAAGGCAGAGTAGAAGAAGCAGAAGCCACAGCAGTGGAGAGTTCTCGGCTGGCCCAGTTTTTAAGGTTGGAAAACGGAAAAGGGAGGCCTGGTGCTGGCAGAGTAGAAATAGCAAGCCAAGGGGAACCGGAAGCCGCTGGGTTGCGTATTTCGAAGACTGCGTCGGTTGTGCGTGCCACTGCCATCTGTGTTTCCCCTGCCATCCCTCCACCATCGCTTGCCCGCCCTCCCATATCCTCAGTTCCCTGTCCCACCCATCTTCCCATTTTTATTTTATTTTCTTTTTTCTACGCGTTGGCGTGGGATTCTCTGTCTTGGTAGTTTGTGGGTCGGCCATCTGGGACGGATGCGACCATAGGGCGGTGAGTTAGTTTTGCGTTTTGTTGGCGTCGCAAGGAGAATTGTGGGGTGTGATGTTACTGGAAGCTTGCGTTGAACGATCGGAAGGAGCGAGAGAAAGAGAGAGTGAGCGGGAGAGAGAGAGAGACTAGGTTAGTGTTGCGACTTTTTGACATACTGTTTGGTCGGCGGTTTTTGAGGGTCTTCCAAGAAGGGACGACGAAAGAGCGTATGTTTCTGGGAGTCTGCTGTGATGATGTATATGTGTTACACGGGTTGAGGGGCGTTGTTTTGAAATTATTCGAGCTTTCGTCTGTAGAGGAGTGTGGAGTGGTTATCAGTAGCAGTTGATCAAGACAGAGGGTGCTTTCTTCCCAGTTCTAATAGGTGGCATGGTTCTGCCGCTAACTTGCTTCCGGGAGTGGTTGGTTGTTGTCGTATGTGAGAAACAGAGTTTGGAAAGTTTGGAGATAGAAATAAAAGGAATCAAGGTGAAAGGATAGGGAAGTGGGATTTAGGAGGTATTCCGAGCAGGAGAGGTGGGTACATGCTTAAAAGACGTCTCCAGTATGGCGGTGGGTACAGAAGTCGCGCATCCTGTGAGCATTTTAGATGGAGTAAGCAAAGTTTCCATTGCTGTCAGCCACAAAGAAGGCGGGGCTGTGGGGGATAGCGGTATGCACGTCGCAGCAGAAGCGGGAGCCAATGTGTTTGCTGCAAGTAATGGCTGCAGCTTGACTGAAAATCATTCAAGCTCTTTACTCTCCATATCGGAGGTTTGCAGTGACGAAACTCTATCTGTGGCATCTCCTGCAACAAGTGCAGAGAAGGTAACATGCCGCATGCCTACATCTAGGGTTGGGGTTATACTCGTGTAGGGTAGTCAATACTTCAATTTCTTATTTAGTATTATGGTGCTGTTAGGAAAGGATTATTTTTACTAGATCGATCGAGGCATAACCGAAGTAACGGCCATATCTTAATTTTTGTCATGGGGGTATGCATCGAATGAGGATATTGTGTAAGTATGGTTTCAATATTCTCTTTGTTTCATGTTCGACTCGCTTTCTGTCAAGCCTCTATCTCCGGTAGCCCTAACTTCTTTCTGGCTACCGAAGTCAGAGGCTTGAACTTGCCTTGCGCGAGATTGTTAGTGGGCGGCGTTGTTTGCAGTTAGCAACATTTGAGTTGTTGTCATTTAAGCTTCAATTGTAACTCTCAGAGAAAGACTAGATATTGCTCATGTACACGTGCGATACAATCTTATTGCCGTGTCTGAAGCTATACGCTGAGGAATTAATTTTGGTTTCGTAATGTTGGGAGAATATGTTAATTATCGTATTTGGGTGACACATCCCGTGTCTACCGTCTTCTGAAAAAGAGAGGAAAAGATTCATGTTTGAAGTTGAGCAAGACAGGACGTAATCCTGTGTGAAGAATTCTAGATTATACCAGTTAGATTTCATTTACTGTGAGTACAAAGCCCACACAGTCTTATCTAATATCACTTTTATCTAGTCGCTGTAGCTCGATCTTCGGCTTCATATCGATTTAGTGGAGTTTGTGTGGAAATTATAATGTCGGCGGAGACTGGGAAGCCTCAAAGTTTTTTTTTTTTTTTTTTTTTTTGAAGTACAAGTGCCTATTCGTATCTGTCCTGTCTGTCCATAAAAGATTAAATTATCATCTTCCTGCTCCGTCGTAGTCTTTTAGTTTTGATGTGTGCACCGTGGTATACTTCTAACCGATTATTTTGCTTATATTTTAAACGTTCAATCTGATCCTTGGTGTATTTATTTACTTTTTTCTACTGGGTCTGCTAAATTTGTGTAGCGGTTCCCGTAACTCATTAGGCATTTAAATTCATTTATTATGTTCACATCCATTCTGGAATACAGGTTCTCAAAGCTGTAGCCCTCATCTGAGTATTTCATTTGCCGTCATAGAAGTCTTTGCGCGCTTCGGCTGTTTTTATGATCTCACGTTTTCTATTATACCTTCGCAGGAAATATACGTGCTCATTGAATTTTTATTTTGTGTAAATTGTTTTTTGTAAGAATCTGTCTATTTGATGGTTGAATTGAATATTCTGTTCTTTTTGGTAAGTACGTATCAGAATGTCCTAATGCAATGTTTGGTTGTGTGCAGGTAGAAATGGAATCGAGTGAAGCGCCTATTTATATTGTTCCTGATTATGTTCCAGAGTATCGTTCTGGAGGTTGTGCAGAGAGGGGAATTAGGCGGTCTATGGAAGATGCACATGTGTGTGTGGATAACTTGGAGGAAACTTTGGGTACTCGAGGTGCCTTCTACGGGGTAAATATCTGCGTTATAAATGTGAATTATATACTGACCATGAAGGCTCTTTAGATATTTACATTGTAATAATGCTGATGGAACTTGACCGTTTTAGCCTTTTTTGCTTTCCTGAGTATATGCACATCAACTGAAATGTGGTATGAAGTTTTGGGACTGAATTGGTGTTGTGGGTAATTCATTTTCAGGTCTTTGACGGTCATGATGGTGAAGCTGCGGCATGTTACGTTAAAGAGCATCTACTACCATTCATATTAAGGGATGTGTCTTTCCCTACTTGTGTGGAAGATGCTGTGAAAAATGCTTACTTAGAACTGGATAAAGAGTTTTTAGAGGCGTGCAGACTGGATGACAGTCTTTCTTCTGGAACAACTGTGCTAACCGCACTTCTACAAGGAAGGTCAGTGTATGGTCGTTCTTTGTGTGTAACTGTCTGATCATCTGGTACTAGCTGTACAGCAGAGTGCCGCAGCCATGTCCTTTCTATGGTTGAGTGAGTATCCCTTGTTGCATTGTTGAGTCGTAACTTCGTGCGTCAACAATCACTCGAACATGGATCGAATGGCTCACTTAGCTTTTCAGAAGGTTGTTCTAAGGTATTGAGAGTTGGGTTATCTTGGGTTGTTTTGCAGAAACTTGCTAGTTGCCAATGCTGGTGACTGTCGGGCAGTTTTGTGTCGAAAGGGGCAGGCCGTGCCGATGTCCCAAGACCATGATCCAAGCTCTGCTTGGGAAAAGTCTCGCATCGAATCCGTTGGAGGTTACGTGGTGGATGGATATGTAAATGGACAGGTAACAGTTGCTCGAGCTATCGGAGACTGGCACATGCAGGGTCTTAAAGAAGCTGGAGGAAAAGGTCCTTTGAGCGCACTCCCAGACGTTAAGTCGTTGGTTCTTTCTGAAGACGATGAGTTCCTTCTCATGGGGTGTGATGGATTGTGGGAAGTATTTACCAATGAGGGTGCTATTTCATTTGCCCGAAAGCAATTGCAGCGTCACAATGACCCAGAGCTTTGTTCAAAGGAACTCGTCGTCGAGGCCTTGAGAAGGAATTCTCAAGACAATGTAACTGTCATCGTAATTTGTTTTAAGGCTGATGCCCCTCCGCCTCTTGTTGTCCTTGAAAGGAGGACTACTATTAGAAACTTCTGTCTTAAGAAAATGCTTTCTGTACAGAAGGACATTGATATTGCTCAAGCTTCTGCAAGTGAGCGCAGGTGCGTTGTTTGAAGAGATTTTCATTGCTTCCCTTTGGGGCTTGCGGTAGGATTCGAACAAATTGACGAGAATGTTCCATCTTAGTAGAATTAGACTTACCTGAGGATAGAAGCAACTAGGCAACAGAAAAGTATTTTTTGGGTAGGAAGTCGATGGAATAAAGGCTTTAGGCAACCTCAGTACTTCTGTTAGGCATCATCTTCAGTTACATTTGAGATTTAAGTTAGATGTGTTATACCGGCGCAGCAGGATAGTTGAAACTCTGAGCAGCTAAATAGTGTCCTTGGTTCCCTTTCTTCCAGTGATAAGACCCGTCACAAGACACTGTACCCAATTTCAAGGGACGAGCATTCAAACTTTGCTCGCCTGCACTTTGATGTGCTCAGAATTGAGATTATTTGGTCTTTGCACAAGGGTAACCACGTGAAACTAATGAACCCATTGATAGTTTGTCATTGCTGCAAATGAAGTTATTGAACGTGATCTCTGTAAGGGATCTAAAATGCTTTGTGTAAGTGTGCGCATGTGCGCTTTGACAATATTTGTAATTGCAACATTAATATTATCTTTAGATTGTGGGATTCTGGTGAGCACTCTGGATTTTAATGTCCAGTCTGCAACCCAAAGTATAAAACGAATCCGAGTATTCTTCACTTTCATTCTACATCATTAATGCCAAGTTACAGTTGACTATCCAAATATTATTGCCTTAATATGGATTACCTGACATCAAATCTGCAATTAATGCAAATTTCTCCCTAACCGTTGATAATATTCTGGAGGATAATTATTTACTCTGTGGCTCGTTACCCTTGAATAGATGTGTCCAAAAATGGATTTTTCCTTGAGATGCATGTAACTTCTTTGGAAAAAAATGTGAGGTGAGTTGTGATTCATATCAGTTTTTACTTTTACCTTCATCTCTTCCATAAAGTTTTATTTAGTTTCTTGGATTTGATGTATATAAAGAATTTTTTCTGAGAATGATCATAAATTTCACCACCAAAGAATAAAACATAATAATTGAAAGAACTCAACAAAAAATAAAAAAGATGCAAGAAATATTTATGTTATACCATGATTTAATATATTGATCAATAAATATAATAAATAAATAAATATTTGTATATATATATATATATATACATTCAAGATTGAACATCATTTACTCGCTCTTGTTTACAAGCTATTATCACACATACAATATACAAGAGACCAAACAAGAAGTTGAACAAAAGAATTTCAATAAAAGAACTAGACAGAACTTGATTAAACCCGATGAGTATAAGATCAATACTAAGAAAGATAAACTAAAACTCCAACAAATGTATTATCAAGACTAAAAATCATCTTAGTCTTAATTCTAATATATACTAGGTATTAGGAAGCTTCTTAAGAACTCATGTTGATTGAAGATGAAACAACCTTAAGAAGCTTCCTAGTCAACTTCTTTAATCTTTCTAAAACTTTCTAGAATCTACTATAATATTTTAAGAACCTTCAAGAACCTTTTACAATATTGTACAAATCTTTTAGGAATCTTCTATTAAAATATTCTAAAAATATTTTACAACCTCATATTAAAATATTTTAAAAATTCTTCTAGAACCTCTTAGATCCTAATAAAATAATTTAAGAATATTTCTAAAATCTTCTTGTTGAATGTTCATATTATCACTTCTCTTTCTAACTCAAAGTATCACAAGGAGATTTGATTCTATATTTGATTTCTTTATTATATACAATATCCTAGCAGTAGCTTCATAGAGAAGTCATTTTAAAATAAGTTTATGTTTTTGAGAATAGTGTCAATAAAACTCTTGTATCTTTTGCAGTACATTAACTAGATATTTGGCTTGTTCCCACGTACACTCATTCACATTGTAGCTGTGCGAATGAATAAAATGCTCCAAACTTGCCTCTTCTTTGCCAAGAATCAAGAATCTTTTCAACTTCATATTCCAAATGATTATTTATTTCAACAGAATGCAGTAATGGTTATGTTCTTCCTGAAATTCTTGATTTTGAATAAGCCTCTAGAAAAGCAACACGAAAAGCTTGGATATACATTTATAGATGTGGATAGTTCCAATTGCTAAGCCATTGGATTGAATTGCTTTCGAATACAAAATGGATTTAGTCTTAGGCAGTCCAACTTTTTGCAAGGCTGATAGATTTGGATATTTTGCCAAAGACGCCATATTTTAATTTCCAAATTAAAAAAAAAAAAAGAGAATTCCTTTTTAAATTCTTCAAAAGATGCTTTATAAGAATCTTGAGCAACTTGTATATAGAGCTTCAAAGTTGTCTAGAGCTGTGAAAATTGATTTGTAAGACCTACAGCTCTTGGATTTTCATCCTTTAATATACCTAATAAATCAAGCTTCGAATGATAATCATAATTGGCATAAAATGGTATTTTTTTAGTCAAAGAATGAAGAATATTATTATAAGCAAACTCCACTGAAGATAAATATGAGGTCCAATCATCTTATTGAAAGTTGATGGTATATTGCAAATATTGTTCCAAAATTTGATTGACTTATTCTATTTAATCATCTATTCAAATGTAGAAGGTAGAAGAAAGTTTAATATCCACCTTTACTATTTCAAAAAATAATTTTAAAAACTTTGATATAAATTAAGGTCCTCAATTAAAAATGATGTCATCAAGTAGGCTATGATATCTATATATATATATATATATATATATATATTTATTTATATTTAAGAAAGACCCTTATCATTTCTTTTCCAAAAATTATCTTTTTGCATGGAAAAAAAATGCTATTTTTGTAAGTAAATCCAAAATAACATTGATAGCATCAAATGTGGTTGATGGCACCAAACCAATAATGAATTCCATTGAAACTGAAGACCATGGTTGCTTTGAAATGGATAGTGGCTATAGAAGTCTATAAGGACAATGTTGAAAATTCTAATATCTTAAATAAATGTCACAAGCGAGAACAAAGTCTTTCATAGTCTTCCACATTTGAGGCCACCAAAAATCTCAAGAAATAAGCTCTAATGTTTTATTAAATCCAAAATGTCCTACAATTGAGAAATCATGATAAAATTGAAGAACACAAAGTTGAGTCAATTCTTTTGGAATATTTAAGCAATCTTCATAATACAAAAGATCTTCTACAAACTTAAATTTTTTGTTGTTAAGGCATTGCTTGATATTATAAATTAATGAGTCTTTAGTTGATGTTGCATGAATTTGTTCAAAAAAACTTAAATCAACAAGTATAATCATAAAATTAGCATAAAGACAAAATTATTTTAGCTTCAAGAAAGTGGTATATTGGTATTCAAATGCTGCTTCTCCAACTTTTGGAATAAGATATGATCTCTTTGATAAAGTATTTGATAGTCCTTGCTATTTTCTTGATTGATATGTAATTACAAAATCAAAACAAGATAATGATATGTTTCAATGAGCTTGGTGGCGATTCAAAATCCAAGCTTACATGAAATACTCCAAATTTTTGTGATTTATATATATAGTCATAGAATGTCTAACACCTTCCAATAAGTGATGCCATTCTTGAAAATAGTCTATAATTGCAAGAAGCTCTTTATCATGAATCTCATAATTGATTTTTATAATTATTTTTTTAAAAAATAAAACACAATTGGATGGAGCTTTCTATCTTTTTTTATTTGTGATAGTACAAATCCTAATGCAAAGTTGGAAGCATCAATCTCCAAATAGAAGGCCTTTGTAAAATTTGAATGCATTAAGATTAGAGTTGTAATAAAAGTTGCTTTCAAATCTTCAATTTTTTTTTGTGTTTAAGGTTCCAATTCCAATTTATCTTTGGATGTCAATCAAGTGAAAAGAAAAACATCTTGGAAATAATTCTTGTTAAATATCTGATAGAAATTAGCAAATCTAAGGAAACATTGGAGATTTTGTATTATCTTTGAAGTTGCCTACTGTGTTATAGCTTGAACTTTCTTTGAATCTATTAACAAACCTTTATTGGATACAATATATACACAAAATTCTATTTGATTGATGGAATATATATATATATATATATATATATATATATTTTGGCATATAATACTATTTCTTATTACTTTTATAAAACTAATGTCACATATTCTTCATGTTTTTTAAGAGTCTTTGATTAGATTAAGATATCATGAAGATAGCAAACAACAAGCTTGTTCAAGTATTCTTGAGAAATATCATTCATCAAATTTTGGAATATAATTGGAATATTTATCAATTCAAAAAGTATGATAATATATTCAAATTATTTTTACTTTTTCTAAAATGATGTCTTCTATTAATCTCTTTATTTAATCTACATCAAATTATATGCTCTACAAAAATCTATTTTGATATAGATCTTGGCTTAATTGAGTTATTCCAAAAGGCCTAATATTGATGATAATAGATAATAATTCTTCATTATTATTTTATTGATGCCACAATAATTAATACATATTTGCAAAGATTCATCTTTTTTCTTCACAATAATTATTGATGCACTTAGTAGAAATTTAGAATATCAAATGAAATTCTTTGTAAGATTTTTGTAGAAATAATCTTTTAATATTGAAAGCTCATTCTATAATAGATTGTAGATTAAGCCAAATGGTGCGTGAGCCTCTTCTGAAAGATCAATAGCATAATCATACAATTTATGTTTTAGCAATTTATTAATATTTTTCTTATCAAAGACATCTTAAATGACCTTACACTGCTCTTAGATAGCTACTACCAAGCTTGCTTCCTTACAAGTTAGAGTTGTATAAATGATAAATGGCTTTTGTTTCTTAGCTATTTTTATAAAAGCCCTTGCTCCAAAAAAAAATAAGGACTTTATTGTTGATGACTTCTTAATAGGTTTTTTCAAAAGAATTCTATAAAAAATTCAACCTTATGAAATCTCCAATCTATAGATAGATTATATCTTTTCAACCACAAAAATCCTAAAATAATAGGATTAAATAAGATTTTAATAATATTCAATATTATTTTATTATCATAGGCTTCAAATAATATTTCTAGTAATATGATATCATGAGTAATATTGCTTGAAGATAAAGATCAACTATCTATTACTTCTATATATATATATATATATATATATAAGTTTTAATCTTTGTGTTAAAAGAATTTTATGAAGTTTGAAAAAAATTTCATTTAAAATGCAAGCAGATATTCTTGAATCTAATAAGACATTTTTTTGAAGTTTTTATAGGCAAAGAAATAAAGATATAATAAAACAATAAGCAAGTTAGATAGAAAGAAAGCAACCTTGATGAATTTGAGGTGTTGAAATGTCCAACTACATGATTCCTATTATGGCTAGGCTTCTTTGTTTTGTTAAACAATTGCACTCCTAGTCTTATTATAAATTATTTTTTTGAACAATTCTCATATTTATAGCCTTCTTTACCATAATATAAGCATAGACCTTATTTAAATTGATGCTTCTTTTCTTCTATTGTAAGAGATTTGAACCGTATTGCATCAATTTGTATATCATCAATTCCAAAATATGGAAGTAATATATTTATTGAATCAATAGAATACAAAGTTTTAGT